TTTTCATTGGGGGCGTTTTTTACGTGGCGGGTCCCAAACCCAGCGCACAACGAACGCCTTCTGGTTAAGTATGGCAAAAACATCATCAATGAGCAATATATATTGAAACGTTTATCAAATGCTGCAATCGATATATATTCAATGGTAGTTACATTGTCTCGTACGTCGCGGGCAATTAAATTAAACTACTGCACAGCACGAGTTGAATATGACCAAAGTTTTATGCATTCAGGTAATTTACAATGTATTTTTTAGTAATTTTAATTCAATAAATTTTCGCTGAGAAATTTAGGGTTTTAAGTATATCATTAGACTATTATTATTAGCTGAACACTTTTGCTTCACCAATGTAAGAGCAACTACGCTTGAACTGAGTTAACGGGACATAATGAATTATGCACTAATGTACTATAGGATATATCTCATTTATTATAGTCATTCTCGGGTCACTAAACAATTTGTTGGCTATGTATAGAAAATTAATTAATTGAAAATTAAAACAAAGACTTGTATTCAAAAAAAAATATATATATATTTGTATTAGTAAAATGCGTTATGAAAACGAATTTTTGTAACAATGTTTACTTTGCAATTTGGTTAGCAATAACCAAAAATTAAAAAAATATATGTATACATGTATCATTTTTAAAAGAGGAATAAACTCACTTTTCAGGCATCAAACCGATGTATGGATAATCTTCGAAATACAAGTGCAGAATCTGAACTGGAAATGATTAACGTAATGAAAGAAATAGCCAGAGAAGTCTGTAATAAGGGAGGAGTTAACACGACTCATGTCATTACTAATTGACGATTCTTTGCGACTTTTATATTTTATATTTTTTTTACACTTATATATTTTGATTAAAAGTTTTTTCTCTAAAGCTATGTATATGAGGAACCTCACTAATTAATTTATGAAACTCACTGTACTTTCAGTTTCTTCTCGTTCTTTTCAACGTATATACATATATAAATGACTTATATACTATGTACCTGTCTACCTAATAATTGCACCGGGAAAAGAAGAGAACCCAGAGTTTGCATATTCTATAAGCTATATACTTTCGATTAGTCTTCAGTTTATTGCGTAAGAGAGTGCGTGTTATGTTTAAAAGAACTCTATTTTTAATTACACTTAGCATCACAATTTCCAGTCAACCTCCTCGAAATTAATATTTTAATATAATACATTTTATGTAAAAATTATTTTCATCCCGTAATACGATGGTTGATGGTTGCACTATGGTGGGATCTCCTACTACTATATGTGTGTTACAAAAAGGGGTACGTAATTATCTCTCGTTAAACATTGTACTAGCTTATGTTAAGATACATATGTAAGTATTAAGGTAAGTAATAGATTAGTATTATGAATGCGTTATTATGGTAAGKATTTTATATAATCAATTTTCATAATTTATTTTTAATAATTCAATATTTTACAATTCATTTCATTATTCCTGTTTTAGATATAAATATGTCGCTTGACGCAACAAACATCCAGATGTAGTAATTTTGAATATTAGAAGCAGCTTCTTCAATTATAAAATTAACAAATTTTTGTTTCTCATTAAGTTTGTGGCATATATAAAAAATAAATTTGTTAGTTTTTCGCAACTAGTTTTAATTATAGGGTTTTTGCATTTTGTGTTATTGTGCAATCTTGAAAGAGCAAGGAATCC